CTGGAGTCCCCTTCTGAAGGACCCACCTGAGGCCAAACTCTCTTTTCTTCCCTGGGGGCTCTTCCCAGTCCTGAGAACCCTGGGCCCTATCTGCTCACCTGTTTCTTCTCTTAAACTCCAAAGGCAAGAATTTGCTTCTTTTGTTCTCTGAATTGTGTCTCGCTTCCCCCAAGGCTGGGAAGAGAAAGCAGTAACTGCCTCACCAAAGGTCACGAAATAACGCAAAGCAGTGGTTACCAGAACCCACCAGGGTTCATTCATCCAACAACTGGCCTGATGCACAGGAAACACACAGCCCTGGTCTTTAAGAGCTTGAAGGTCACTGCCCCGACACTTCTCAGAGGAGTGCCAAGGGTGAGGCCAAGTGGCCTGACAGCGGGGACCTTCCTTGAGCATGGTGCCATCTCCCCAGATAAGGAGGTGGCTTTACTATCTCCCTTTAAAATTGGGGGAGGTGGGTGACTGAAGGCCTGGGACCCTGTCTCCTTGCCACCACAATCTGAGGACAGTGGGGCCAAGGGCCGTGCCTGTGAGCTCCGAGCCCTACTTGGGGCATCAGGGCCCTGGGTCCTGGCCTACCAGGAAAATCATTCATTCGGGGTTATTTATTCACTTATCTCACTTTCTCAGTTTACTGTCTAGAAGTCAACAAGCTTTGGCGCTAACCCTTTGTGAGATCTCCTCTCCCTTCAGGGATACACCTGATTTATGTTTTTATTTCATTTTATCTGATTTTAAAGACTGAGAAATTGGGGCGCCTGAGTGGCTCAGTTGGTTAAGCGTCTGACTCTTGGTTTCGGCTCAGGTCATGATCTCGTGGTTTGTGGGTTCAAGCCCCGCGTCGGGCTCTGTGCTGACAGTACAGAGGCTGCTTGGGATTCTCTGTCTCCCTCTCTCGCTGCCCATCCCCTGCTCGCTCTCTCTCTCTCTCTCTCTCTCTCCCTTAAAATAAATAAATAAACATTTAAAAAAGGACTGAGAAATTAATTAGGGCACAAAAGAGCTCAGAACCCCCCCTAGGGTGGCCTAGGCCAGACACTCAAGAATCACCACTTGCTCCCCTGGGAGAAGACTGGAGAAATAATGGCACCAGTCCAGGTGGAGGAGCCCACGACCAGCGCCCTCTCTGCCAGGAAGGGCAGCCCCGAGGTTGGCGCCATTATAAAGTGTCCAGATAATGGTGACGGTGCCCACAGTGGCCATAGTGACAGCAGCAACTTCGCTGTGCTTGCCGTGCGAGCACAGTTCTGAGCTACCTCATGCAGAGCTCTGTTTACTCTCAGCACCATTCAACTATGAGAGAGGAACTGTTACTATCCTTATTTTGCAGATAAGGAAAAAACACAACAGAGAGATTAAAAGTTTGAGCAGTGATTTTATACTGCCTGCCTCGAGAGCCTGTTCTTAACTGCTGCTCTGTGCTTCCTCAAGCAGGGAAAGCCAAGAACAGAGCCGCCCTCTGGTTCCAGGGCACAGAGATGCCCTCCTCAGCCTGGACTGAACAATGAAGTGAATTGGGGCCTCCCTCAGGTCATGACTGAACTTTTACTGCTTTGTTTGCGGTAGGAAACTGAGGGTATCTGACTTCAAAAGCAACAATCTCAATTTTCTAGAGGGGGAAGATGAATCCCTACCTCACACCATATAAGCAAATAAATTCCAGCTATACCAAAGAGTAAACAATATATTGAAATCATAAAAATACCAGGAAAAGACCATAAAATAATATTACAATATCAGAATAGGGGACACTATTATAAATAGTCACTTAGCTCAAAAATCTTAAAAAGGAAGAGGGAAGCACTTTCTCTGGAGGAGAAACGCAACATCATTAATAAAGCTAAAAAGCAAGTGATGAGCATATTACAGACATTAGCCTCCTTTGCTTTGTAAGTATCTCTTACAAAACAAAGACCAATAATCCAACAGGAAAAAAAAGGCAAAGGGTATGAAAAGTTCATAGCAAAGAAATTACAAAATATATTAAACAGTGTACAACCTTGCTCATAATAAGAACATTCCAAATTAAAACTACCCATCTGGTTGGCAAAGATCTACAAAGATTAGCAAGGATGTAGGGAAACATATCCTCGCCCAGTGCTGGAAGGCATCCACTCAGCCTCTAAGGACAAGCAATAAGGCAACAAACCTTTGATCCTACAATTCCACTTTTAGGAATTTAGCCTATAAATATGCCCACGTATGTAGGAAGTGATTATATACAAGAATGTTTATTGTATTATTGTTTTTAGTGGTAAAAGATTGGAAGTAACCCAAATATCTGAGGAGACGCCTAGTTAATTGAACTACGGAGCAGATTGCTGTGTAGATATTTTAAAGGATGCAAGAGAATGAAAGTGGGATCCTTACCTCACACTGTATACAAAAAATTATCTCAAAATGGATCAAAGGCCTAAATGTAAGAGCTAAAATGATCTCTTAAAAGAAAACATAGGAGCCAATTTTCATGAGCTTGGATTTGGTGATGGATTCTTAGTTGTGGCACTGAAAGCCCAAATGACAATGATAACAAAACTGGATCAATTGGACTTCACCAAAGTTAAAAGTTTTTCTGTATCAAAGGGCATTATCAAGAAAGTGAAAAGACAGCCCACAGAATGGGAGAAAATATTTGCAAGTCCTCTATCTGATAAGAGAGCAGTATGCAGAATATATAGAAGAACACAACTCAACAACAACAAAAACAACAACCCGATGAAAAACATAGGCAAGAATCTGAAGACGTTTCTTCCAAGAAACACGGATGGCCAATAAGCACACAAAAAGATACTCTCAGCATCATTAATCATTAGGAAAATGCAAATCAAAGCCACAAGAATCCACATCACATCCCTACTAGGATGGCTATAATAACAATAATAATTTAAAAATGGAAAAAAGTGTTTAGCAAGGACGTGGAACATTTGGAACCCTCATACATTGCTAGTGGAAATGTGAAATCATACAACTGCTTTGGAAAACAGTGTGATGGTTTCTCAAAAAGTAAAACATAGAATTATTATACAACTCAGCAATTCCACTCCTAGGTACATACCCAAGAGAGTTGAAAATGGGTGTTCAAATGAACTTTTGTACCTGAATGTCCATAACGGCATTATTCATACTAGCCAAAAAAGTGAAAACAACCCAATGTCGATCAGTAGGTGAATGGAGAAACCAAATGTGCTCTGTCCATACAATGGCATAGGATTCGGTATTAAAGGGGAATGGAGTTCTGATACCTGTTACAACGCAGGTGAAGCTTGAAAACATTATGCAACTGAAGAAGCCAGACACAAAGGACCGGCTGGTGTATGATGTCATGTATATGAAATGGCCGAAACAGATCCATGGAGAAGGAAGGAAGATCAAGGGTCGTTGGGCACTGGGAAGGGCAGGGCTGGGTAGTGACCCCTTAATGGTTATGGAGTTTCACTCTGAGGTGGTGAAAACGTTCTGGAATTAGATGGTGGTGATGGTTGCAGAGCCCTGTGAATGTGCCAGTCGCCACTGAATTGTACATTGTTAGGTGGTTAAAGCAGTAAATTTTATGTTACGTAAATTTTACATCAACTAACACAAGGATGAGGAAGTCTTCTGTGTATCAATAGAAATAATCCCTGGGGCGCCCGGGTGGCTCAGTCAGTTGCGTGTCTGACTCTGGATTTTGGCTCGGGTCAAGATCCCAGGGTTGTGGGATAGAACCCGTGTTGGGCTCTGCACCAAGCATGGAGCCTGCTTAAGATTCTCCCTCTGCCCCTCTCCTCCACTTGTGTGCTCTCTCTCTCTCTCTCTGGAAGGAGGGAGGGAAGGAAGGAAGGAAGGAAGGAAGGAAGGAAGGAAGGAAGGAAGGGGAAAGAGAAGAAAAGAAAAGAGAGAGAAGGGAAGGAGGGGAGGGGAGGGAACAAAAAGTCCCTAAGATACGTTTTTAAGGAAAAAGAAAAAGACCAGTAGACTACTATGGAACTGTGGCTATACATGGTATCATAGGTTTTCTCTTAAATGCATTAATTGACCAAAATTGTACTTGTGTTTGTCTGTTTGGGTTTTTGGTGGGTTTTTTGTTTTTGTTTTTGTTTTAACTAGGCTCTACACTACGCCAAGCATGGGGCTTGAACTCACTACCCCTAGACCAAGAGTCGCTTCCTCTACCAACTGAGCCAGCCAGGTGCTCCTAACTGACCAAGTTTTACTAGAACTTACTTCCCCAGGACTAGCAGCAGAGAAACAGACCCACACCCCGACCATCTCCAGGCTGGGGGGAGAAACACACCCTCCCACAAGGGCAGCGTAGCCGCTCCTGGAGGCCTTGCCAAGGCCGGCCGGCCATGTTTACCCAGGGTGCCCAATCTGTCAGGCTGCCACTGCTCCCCCACACTCGTGCTGGGCCGCAGCCGGCAGCCCCTGGCTGGGGCTCACACCCTCCGATGCAGCTGCAGAGAACCCATCATAAGCAGCCGAGCGGGAGGGACCTGGCAAGCGGACCAACGTGGAGCCTCGTTGTGTACGTTTTCTTTCTCCGCAACCAAAGCCGACCACCAGCCAGCCAGTCTGATCCGGCGTGGTCGTTTCAGCCCAGGACAGGTGCACAGGCAGCCTGTAACGGACCGCATATTGGTACCAGCCCCCAAGTTCATATGTCGAAGCCCTCATCCACAATGGGATGATTTTAGGATGTGGGGCCTTTGGGAGGCGATTAGGTTTAGATGAGGTCATGAGGACGGGGGCCCACGGAGAGATTAGTGTCCTTATAAAGAGGAAATTCTTAGAGCTGCTCTCTCCACCATGTGAGGACACAGCCAGAAGACGCCGCAGGAAGCAGGCCCACGCTAGATACAGAATCTGCCATCCCCTTGTTCTTGGACTGCTACATTCCAGCTCAGGGACAAACAAATGCAGTTTAAGCCACCCAGTCTATGGTATTTTGCGCATCAGCCTGAACGGACCAAGACAATCTCTAAGAGTGGCCCAGAGGGAGAGCAAAATGTGCAAAGCTCTACCTGCCCGGCAGGGGTGTGAAGTCAGCATGACGTGGGAGCCCCAGCCCCTGCCCTGCTTCCAGGGCACCCCTCTGGTGTGAGCGGCCCTCCAGGCCAGGTGTCGTCTTCATGTCAAAAGTTAAGCATTTTTCGTAGAGCGTGGCCCAAAGCGCAAGCCAACGACGTCGCCTGGTGCTCGGCTGCAAAAGAAGAAATTTAATCCGTCCCGACACTGGAAGAAGAACTGGCTGGAGAGAACTCTTTGAGAGACAGCACAGTAGTATATTTTATAGGCACCTTCAGGGATTTTCAAGGATAGTTTTGACCATACGTGATCCTCACCTCACGGGATGGCTTTTGAATCTAACCCCTGAGTCAGATGGGACTCCATTGTAATAAGAACAGAGTACAACCAACTTCTAGAAGATGAGAAATGGGAACATTTATTTGCTTCCCAAAGTTTCCCCTACCACCTCTCACCACCTCCTTCTAAAAGTAGGTACAGATCGCATTCGTTATGGAAGGACGAGCCTGCCTGGGTTCAAAGCTTACCATGTTCCTGCTGATCTGTACACAAATCTCACCCGAATGACAATACTTATGGAAGGTAAGAAATCTTGTCCTCATTTTATTAGTGGAGAAAAGACTCCGAAAGGCTAAGCAATTACCTGAAAGTAAATAGAAGAGTCAGTGATGGTCCCCAATCTGCGCGGTCCAAAACCCTTATTCTCCTTGATCCCTTCGCCTTCTTATCCTGGTCAAATCACACTGGTTATCTCACCCGCCTGCTTTCTCCCCCTACACTAATTTACTTCACGATGCAACTTCACAACTCCTGCAGTTTACATGCAACTTCGCTCCTTCTACTCAGGCAACTTCCTTGTCTGCAAATGCTCACTGGGGAGATCTTAAAACCAACCTTACCCAGAAACTCGTTACCACACATACCCAAGCCAACCTGCTGGGTCCCTGAAACTATGCTACTGCATCATGGATCACTCTCTCCAGCAGCTTCTAAGCCGTTCCACTAACATTTCTCGTCTCTTTTTAACTCCCATGGTACTCCAAACACCGCTCTCTTCCAAGACTACCTGCGGCTCTTACTATTTTCCTGTCATTGATTTCGTGCTGGGGTTTCTAACTACCCAATACAGATCCCATGCTTTCATTTCTTTTCTTTCTTTTTTTTTTTTGTCCTTGGAATCTGAAACATCTCCCAATTTACCACCATCTGCTACCTTAATTAATAGGCTGTTTACCTCCCCGGTAAGACCTCGTAGCGATCCTCTTGGACTCCATCCCTAACTTTGCGCACATTGTAGGCTCTCATTAGTCTTGGTTTATAATCCAGCTTTCAATCTATTTGACAGCTCTCATCTCCAAGCCAATTTGAATTCCACTTTTCTCATAAGATTTCATAAGGCACAAATACGCTTTTTTGAACCTGGAACAAATTACATCTAGTACATTCCCTCTGTCCACTCCTTTTATAATTGGAAGAAAGAAGAAGAAAAAAAAGAACATCAGTCTGGTGCGTTTGCTACAAAGTCACTGGTTCTTTCTGTTCATTGAAGTCTCAGGTTTGCATGACTATCTCTAGGGAGTTCCCTCTGTCACATAGCACGATGTGGTGTCTTCCTCCAGCCCCTCTCTGCCCCGGCACACGCATTAGCAGATCTGAATCGCGCACAATGCAGTTGTGCCCAAATGCATAGCGAAGGAGAGAAATCAATAAAGCAGACAGTTTTATAACCCGAACAGCCAACATCACTTACAGCCGGAGGTGACTGGTGAGTTCTTCAGTGTAGAAAACAACTTACCACTTGATTTTTTTTGTTGTCACATGAAATGGTCATTGTTGCATCAAATGCAATCAGTCATCCTCTGTTCTTTCTTCACGGGTCCCGTGCAAAGAGGTGGAGGGGGCCGGAAGGAAGGTTGGCATTTCTTAAGCTCTTCCTGTGTATCAAGTCCTGAGCGAGGGGTTGGCTTCCTACGCTTGATCTCGGTGATGTTTTCAATGTAGCTTCATCGGCATCACCTGAAGATATTGGTAAAGAGGCGGCTTCCAGACTCGCTCCCAGATTTTCTCAGTCAGTAGCTCTGGGCTGAGGCCCAGGAATCTGTTTTTCAAAAGTGAAAAGCTTTCCTGATTACAAAGTGAACTGGGGAAGCACCGAATTCTCAAAGCGGCCCAGAAATGTCCATTTCAACCTTTATGGTCAGTCATTTGTTGGATGAGGAGGCTAACATGCAGAGAGCTTAAATCATTTGCCCAGCATCAGAGAGAGGGACGTGAAAGCCCAACATCAAAGATGAGTCCATAGGACTCTGGGACCCATCTTCGCTCCGTGATTCCATACAGCCTCCATTTTGATGGGAAATTTAATTCTTTGTTGTTGTAATAGGAGATACCACAGCCTCATTTTTATGAAAGTGAATATTCAGCACTGCCAAAGACATGTCGTGGGCACTAATGTGCATAGCTGCATTATTCACAATAGCCAAAATGCAAAATCACCCAAGTGGTTGGAATGGATGGAAGATGAATGGGATGATCGGGAGATGAATGGAATATATATAGATTTTTTGTAATATTATATTTATAATACAAGAGAATATATTTTATATTATTATACTAATTATATTTTATATCATATACATAATATTACATGTATTATTTGTAATACAAGATCATATATTTTATATTATTATTATATTGTTTTATATTTTATATCATATATAATATTACATGTATTATTTATAATACAAGATCATATATTTTATATTATTATATTGTTGTATATTTTATATCATATATAATATTACATGTATTATTTATAATACAAGATCATATATTTTATATTATTATGTTGTTGTATATTTTATATCATATATATTATATGTATTATTTATAATGCAAAATAATATATTTTATATTATTATATTGTTTTATATTTTATATCATTTATATAATACATGTATTATTTATAATGCAAAATAATATATTTTACATTATTATTATATTGTTTTATATTTTATATCATATATA